TTTTGTTTGTTTCTCTGTGTAGCTTTGGAGCCTGTCCTGGATCTCGCTCTGTAGACCAGTCTGGCCTTGAACTCACAGAGATCCACCTGGCTCTGCCTCCTGAGTGCTGGGATTAAAGGTGTATACTACCACTGCCCAGCTGGTAATCTTCTTAAAAATCTAGAAGTTTTTTTAAAAGACTCTTTATTTTTAATTTTTAAATTATGTGTATACATGTGTGTCTGAGTGTGGGTATGTGCATGTGAATGCAGTCATCCATGGAGCCCAGAAGAGGACACCAGATTCCCTTGGAGCTGGAGTTACAGGTTGTGAGCCATCTGATATGGATGCTGGAAACCAAACTGTGGTCCTTTGGAAGAACAGTACACACTCTTAACTGCTGACCTTTTTCTCCAGCTCCCTGGCAGAGTAATCTTGATTCCAGCTTTGGGACTTTGTCGCAGTGGTTGATTCCAGTGACTGTGGAGTGACTTATTGAAGGCATATGAGAGCCACTTGGGGAATTGTGAAAATTTCAGATTTTCTGAACTGCTACAAATCAAATAGATTTGGAGTTGGTCCCTGAAATCTGTAGTTTTTACAAGCCCCTGAAGTGGTTCTTATATAGTATCTTATAGCTTGAGAATCTTTGGTCCATGGGGTCAGAGTATCAAGGCTGGAGCTTGTGAAAGTTTCTTTTAATTATAACCAATAATATTCTCATACATAATTCTTTTTGGGAATGTTGATATGTTATTATACTAAGGAATAACTTTTACCTTATTTAAGTTTAAATGACTGAAGAATATGACAGAGTCATGTGAATAAACCCTGTAGTGTCCTGGGTGAATATTTAATAAGTGTCTTAAAAAGTCACCAAGCGTCCCACTTAAATGTGCATTTTTTTCCCTGAAGGAACCCTTACGTGTGTGTGTGTGTGTGTGTGTGTGTGTGTGTGTGTGTGTGTGTGTGTGTATGCATGAGCACGCGCACACACACACATGTTGCCTTTTGATTTTGTTCTTTGTACCTGTTGCCTTTTGATTGTGTTTGTTATTGGATGCTTTTAAATTTTGGTGTGTGAATGAGTGTTTTGCCTGCATGTATGTAATGTGTCCCACGTGTATGCCTGGTACCCTCGTAGGTCAGAAGAAGGCATTGGATCCCTGGAACTGGAGTTATAGATGCTCATGAGTCCCTACTTGGGTGCTGGCAACTGACCCCAGGTCTCTGCCAGAGCAACAAGTGCTCCTAACTACTAAGCCATCTCTCCAAACTCTGTTTTTTTTTAAGATCACCTATTGTGTTATGTGCTTTCCATTGAAACATTCCTCAGCCAGGGATTATTATTTTTATTTTTTATTTTTTTGTGTATGTGTGTGTGCCTGAGTGTATGTGTGTGCACTATGAGGGTGCATGACCCTGAAGAGGTCGGAGAAGGCATCAGATCCCCTGGAACTAGGATTATAGATGGTTGTTAGCTGCCATGTAGGAACCGAACCCAGGGACTGTGCGAGAACAGTGAGTGATCCTAACACCGAGCCGTCTCTCCAGCCCTTAGGATCATTTGTAACCATGACCCCTTACACATTGCTTGGAATGCAAGAGCCCCTGTTAGGTTGATAAACCCAGGTAAGTGTAAGCAAGGGCGCAGTGAAGCTCCCAAACTAGACCTAATGTGTGTAGAGAAAAAGGGTTATTGGGGATCAAACTGCCAAGGCTGTCTCTAGGAGAGGTGGCAGAGAGAGGCAAAGTGACAGGATTTTATCTGACAGTCTCACAAAAGTCTCTTACTATTTTGGTTTTTGAGACAGGGTCTTTTTCATAGCCTTGGCTCCTATAACTCGCTCTATAAACCAGGCTGTCCTCACACTCACAGAGATCTGCCTGCCTCTGCCACCTGAGTGCTGGGATTAAAGGAGTGTGGCACCATGCCCAGCTACAAGTCCTTTTTAAAAACTTTTATTATTGGATCATGAGTGAATTGTAAGAACTATAATTCCCATTCAGCATTAATTCATTGTCAGAGAATATGATCTAAGGAGTTTACCTGTTGTAGTGCATGTCTTGAGAAATGCTTCTGCCTGAGAATGGAATAAGCATGTCATAGTGCATAGAAACTAGTCCACCCATGTCACTGGCTGGTGAGGCCCCTGTAGAGTAGTGCTCTTAGATTGTGCTCCCCATGTAGAGTAGTGCTCTCAGATTGTGTTCCCCAGGCCTGCTCAGCTTCATGGAAGAAACTTGCTAGTGTCTGTGTGTCCCCTGATGTATCTTCTTTCCCATCTGTCATCATCTCCTCACTTCTCCACATCCTGGTTTTGACAAGCCCTCCTTGTGCTTCGGATGCTTGCTGAAGTTTGAGAACCCCTGTTCCCAAGACAGCTGTTTGCAGTGTTTGTTTATAGCCAGATACCAATATTTACCAAAGAGCATCCTCTTTGGTGCTTGGTGGTAATAGCTATTATTTGCAGAGTGCAGGCTTCATTGCCCCCTTGGAGATTTCCACATTAATTGTAAGAGTCATTATTATCCTGCGTGTTAGTGGCTTCATGTGTTTGGCAGGTGGGACCTAGTATATGCTGGGGGATGGAGGACTCGTGCGCTTTAGATGCTGTTGTCGTAGTTTATTCCTGCAGTTGGGAAGGGGATGAGTAGCAGACATGAAGATGCCCTTTTCTTACCTGTCTTGTTGGCAGGAATACACTCTAGTAGAAACTGAGCTGTTATTAGGTAGTGCAAACCAAGAGGTTACACGTATGGGGTCGTTGGGACCTTACCATTAATGAACAATGCGGCCTTGGGCAAATGTCATAGTTTCTTGAAAGAGTTTTATTGCTTGTTTCTGTGGGGTTTTTGTTTTTTTGTTTTCTTGATAGCTTGGATTTCTAGTTCAAAATGATTTTCTGTCCCATCAATGAGATACCAACCAAAACAAAGTGTGGGCATAAATTCTTTACTGACCTATTAAGATAAAATGTAAATATGTAAAAATCCCCCAGCAATAAAAGCTAATTTTTGAATTGAGAACACTTATTATGGTTTTGAACTCTACACGTGGATAATGGTAAGGAAGTCAGTTTGTTTTTTATGGGAAACACTTGGGCTTTGTCAGGTTCTGGGTTCAAATTCTGACTTCATTTACTGGCTTAACCCTGACTTCGGGGCATTAGTTGCTTCACTATAAGTTAGAGCTGTTGTGTGTTGGAAGAGATAACATATTTTCAGGTTTTCCACATGAATTCAAGAGGGCCGTAAGGCTAGATCTTAGATTTTACTATTTAAGTGGTGAAAACCAGTCCAACATTCATGTGGAACTAGGTCGATGCCTCAGGTTTCATCTTAGTGTGACCCAAGAGGGACTGGACATGTTCTTTTGTACTTTGGTTTATTTGTAGTGTCATAACTGTAGCATTAAAAAACCCTCCTGGCATTTGGATTTTAACATGACAGCTCAGGACATGATCTCTTTACTCTAGGGGATGATGAGCAAAGTGATTGGTTTTATGAAGGAGAATGTGTCCCTGGATTCACCGTCCATAACCTTCTGCCCAAGTGGACTCCTGATCACTGCACTGAAGTAGAAAGAATGGACTCCGGACTGGATAAACTCTCAGATCCTACATTCCTTTTACCTTCCCGGCCAGCTCAAAGAGGTGAGTTTGGAGAAGATGAAAACGTCAAGGTCATGGCTTTGTGGTTCTCTTTGGGAAGACTCAACGGTTGCCCTGCTCAGTCACTGGCATGCCTCTGGCCATGCATTGCTCTCTGAACTCTGGAGTTAGCTCAGGGTCCTCCCACTCCTAATCAGTCCATATAGGCTCTTGGGACACATCCCCAGTTTGTGCCATGTTTAGGAAGCCTGGCATCAGCCACATCACAGCAACACATCCTTTTGTAAAATTGATGTGATTCCTCCCAAATGCTCCTTGGAAGCTTGAAAGATTGACTTACAAGGAACATTCACATACAAGAAATTGGGGCATTTCTAAGTGGATGGTTTTAAAATACTTCTTTAAATGTATTTGTTTTAATGATCTTATTATTGTGTACTTTGACACAAATGCATTATCTGTTCCTTTGCTTTACTTCAGTTCTAAAGGAGTAGAATGGAGTGGAAAGAGCCCGTAACAGGACACTTCTCTTTTAGTTGGTTCCGTATTGTGACCAAGCCATTTCACTTTTTGGAATGTCTGGGCCATTGCCTACATGTATGGCAATGAACAGGACTGTTTCATAGTTTCTTTAGTCCTGCAAATGTAGGCCTCTCGGGGAAGTAGCTATCAACCATTTAGCCAGTCATCTGGTATTTGTTGATGTTTGGTGCTCAGAGGAGCACATCTGTGATCATAGCTCAGGACAAAGATATGGGCACAGTCTGGCAGATAGTTTGTGAAGATGCTGGGCTAAGGGCTCCAGTGTGCTAGAACATCTGTGCTTAAGGATCTTGTAACTGAGGCCTCTTCTTTCTGCAGGATACCATGCTCGTCTGAATCGATTGCCAGGAGCTACAGCTCGGTGCCTCAGGAAGGGGCGGAGAAGGCTGGCTGGGAAGGTGACAGATCTCATGGTTTCTCCGGTGCTGTGGGAAGGTGGTAGTCCCCATGGGATTTGAGTACCCTACTGACAGTTGAAGGCATCACAGGACTCTCTGGAGTGAATGAAGCCAGCTGAAATGCTCTGGGAGCTAAGAAGGGTGAATGGATGCTGTGTGGGATTTGAATGGATACAAACTGAAAGAGAAACACTTTATTCACGCAGAAGTTCAGACCAAGCACTTACATCAACCTCTGTTGTGTGTAGGCCGCTGGCTTGGTCTCTCTTCTGCACTTGTGACTACCCCTATATTGTTGTATAAGTTTAAAATCTCTTTTGGCTTCTTTATAACTCCTGAATTCAGGATGTGTTTTTTCCTAACTGGACTTTTTATCCTAGAATTGATTTAAAAGGAGAAAGCTACATAGCAACAAACTGAACCAAATGAGCAATGCCTTCTCTCACACGTAAAATAACACTAAGCCTGCTTCACCGTCCTCCAGGATCTTTGCCCTGGCCCCCAGGGACAGCTACTGCTTCTGCAGTTCTGTCCTTGCCAGGGCCTGTGCTGGGCCCTGGGCCAATGATTCCTCCCAGCTGTTGCTTTAGCCCATAAGGAGAAGTAAGGTTCAAATAATAAGAAGTGTGTGGCATTCCCTGCATCCAAGTAGCAGAAGAGAGACTTGAACCTATGGGAACTGTGTTTTGTTTGTTTGTTTGTTTGTTTGTTTTTTAAACTAAATTTATTTTTATTTTTTATCTTTTGGAGATAGGGTCTCTAGGAAGTCCAAACTGGCCTGGTTCTTGCTTTGTGTCCCAGACTGGCCTTCAACTTGAAATTGTTCTGTCTAATTTCCTGAGTCCTAGGACTATAGGCATGCACCTAGCTCTTGATTTAAATTATTCCAGCTTTGAGATTGAGAGCTCGGCTCAGGAAAAGGCTCCCTAGCCTGGGAGGGAAGACGGTTTTGAGAAGAGTTTACCAAGCGTTTAGAATGCCGGCGGCAGTACTTGCCAAGCATGTGATGGTTGTCAGTCTCGATCATCTGGCTCCTGCTTTGTATTGTAGTCTACCCAGAGATCTATTTTCTGAAGTTTGGAGCGCTGGGGGGCAGGGCGGGGGGTGAGGGAAGAAAGAAACAAACAAGAGGTGAGGTTAATTAACTTGTGTTTCCCGCAGAAGACAATTTGCAGGAGTCACTTCTCCTTCGGTCTTGTGGAACCTGGGTATTGAACTCAGGTCATCAGACTTGGCAGCAAGGGCCTCACCTACTGAGCCTTCCCTGCAGCCAGTCTTACTTCTTACCTTTAAATCTCCTCCCAGTCTGACGAGAGAGGCATTTGACCTTCGGAAGAATCACGCTCCATATCCCTTTTGCCTTACTCCATCTATAGACCCTGGCCCAACACCCTTGATGGTTCTGGAGCTCACTCTTGACGGGGAGGGCTCCTATGTGGATGAGTTAAGGAAGCAGAAGCTGGAGAGTGGCGGACAGTGAGGCTTTCCTTCCCCTTCTGTTGATTATGTAGAGAATGGTCTCTCCACTGTCTGCTGCCTTCTTTAAGCTCAACAAAGTAAGAGCTTTCCGCTTCCAAGGACAGGAGTTAGTTCATCTTGAAGGCCATCTTCAGTGTGCTTGAGAGGAATCTAGGGTTTATTGGATGTGCAGCTAATGATCTCAAGTGGATAGGGAGAGATGTACTTTTTAAATTCGTCTTCATCACCTTAAAGGGAGATGTGTCATTTCTAGCAGAGGTCATTGCTCTGCTCCCCCTGCTCCTCTCCCCAGTCCCTCTCTTCTCTTTCTAAACTGTAATCATAAATAATGAGTTTCATTCACAGCTCCCTGCCAGCGAGCTGCTAATTACGCAAAGTACTGCTTGTAATTTACACAGTAATAAACTGTAAATTTAAATATTACGGCATTTTAGGTTAATAATTTTTCTGCTGTAACAAATAGCTCATTATTCACCCATCTTCTCCCTTGGCCTCTCTAGTTCTGTATCTCTGATCTGGAGGCATAGCCAGAGGGATGAAAAATATGAGGAATGCAATATGTGAACCCTCCACTTAGCTCCGCCCTGTTTAGAATCTGACCTCACATTAATTTTCCTAAAGCTGGTGGTTCTGTTAAAGTGTGTTTCCTATCTTCAGGCCACTCGTACCCGTAGTTGAGTACAAATGCCAAGGTACCGATGTGTTTGAGTAGCGTTGACACTCAGGCCCCTGACTATCCTCTCACCCTGGCACTTCCTCTTGGGTGTGGCTTGTTTCTGTGCAGGTTGCTGTGGTCAACAGCATTGTGGATGTGCTCATTGGGGAGGGCGTGCCTTCTGCCGCTCGCTCTCCGGTGGAGATAACTGGTTTGCCGTGGCCTTACGGCTGTGTTTTCCCACTGCAGTCCCGAGAGCACCGAATTGAAGAAGCAGCTTGGTGCTTTTACTTTGAAATGATATTCAAGGGACAGAACACAGTGATCAATTTTGTGGTTTTTGTTTGTTGTGGTGCTCAGGGCCTTGTGCATGCTGGGCAGGCACTCTACCACTAAACTGTATGTATCTAGCCAGACTGCTTATTTTTCTAAGTAGCACAAGTTCTTTAACACATAGACATGTATTCAGCAGGTACTCGGTGAGGGTTCAGTCACTGTTTGTCTGTGATACTTGTTGAACCTCAGTCAAATGGAGCTTAGTGTGCTCTTCTGCTAAAACCTGGCTCCTGTTGCTGGGTGTGGTGACATACACCTCCAATCTCAACACTCCAGAAGCTGGAGCAGGAGTTTGAGGCTAGCTTTAGCTGCACAGTGAAACCGTGTCTCAATAAAATTAAAAAAAAAAAAAAAAAAGTGTTGAATCTTCTGAAAAAGTTTTTCTGCTTCTTTATACTCTATATTCTAGTATTATTTCATTTTTCTATTAATACTCCAGGAAGTATGACTATATTAAAATTACACACACATCTAAACAATAAACAGTGTATACACATGTTGAAACATTACTTGGGATTAGTTTTATATTTCACTTATGCGTTAGAAAATAAACAGGGCTGGAGGGAAAGCTCAGCTGGTGAAGCGCTTGTGAGGACTTGAGTTTGTTCCCCAGAACCACGTAGGAGGAAACCTCCTCAGGCTCGAGGGCACGCTTGTAATTTCAGCACTCGGGAGGAGGAGGCAGGAAGATATCTGAGGCTCACTGACAGACAGCCTAGAGCCTACTTGGTAAGCTCAGGCCAGGAGATACGCTGTCTCAAAAAAACATAGACAGTGCCTGAAGATTGCCAGCTGAGGTGGCTCTGGCTTCCATTCGTGTGCACACTTATGCCTGCCACACATGTGTACCTGTGTGCACACTTACGTAAAACTAAATTTAAAACAGAAAAAAGTCCCAAGTCCAAAAACCAGTATTTATAATGTCTTTTTAAGAGTTTTTTGGGTCAGCAGAGAATAGATGGGTAATAGATGATACTTCTAAGATGGACTCACACTTAAAAAAAAAATAGCTATTGGATTTTAAGGTTGACACAACCTTGAGATTGCGTGGCTGGCATAGTGAGAGAAGAATTGAGCTTGGTGACAGTTTGCATTGTATACATTTGATTCTGTGGTTTGATGACACTCTTGTTCTTACCTTTCAGGAGACCAGCATAAGCAGCCTGGGGACAGAGAGGATCAGCCATGTCATCAGTGACTCCCTGCAGAAAGAGTAAGTGCCTGAGTGCCTGCTGGTGCCCTAGCCTGCTCCCTGGAGAAGGAGGGAGAGAAAGAAGGCTTTTCTAAAGCAACCTTTCTGTTAGACCCCAGAGCCGAAAGAGGACATCTTAAAGAGTAGTGCTTCCGGGCAGCTCAGAGGGCTGAAGTCAGGCCGGCAAGATGGCTGGTGGCTGAAAGTGTTGGCCGCCTGTTGTGTGTGTGAGATGACCCGAGTTCAGTCCCCAGAACCTACGCTCAGGCGGAGGAAAGGAAGGACCAGCTCCACAGAGCTGGCCTCTCCTCTCCCAAGGGTGCTATGGCACACACAGAAATTAGAAAGAAAATTTGAAGATGGCTAAAGTCTTAGATCATGACAGTGCTTTTCTTTTCCTTTCTAGAGTAGTTTTTATTTTGTTGCCTGTTGTAATTCTACATGTTATATTACTACCCACCACCAAGGTACTATATTTTAAATGCATTTTTCTCAGTTTTTTTTAAAATGGTCATTCCAGGTGGCTGGTTGCCTCTGTTCTCCCTCAGCCCTCCTTAAGGAGAAATCTTTTTGTCCCTGTGACCGTGGTGAATGCAGTAGGAAGCATGAATGTAGCTCCACAGGGGTCATCTGCCTCTCTCCTAACAGCTTCATCTCCTGAACACTTGCCTTTGCTCTGTGCTTTGCCTTCCCCGGGTCTTCCGTGGCAAACATTTGAATATCTGCTGAATAAATACATACATGTTGGGGCTGGAGAGATGGCTCAGTGGATCAAGCCTGAGGACCAGAGTCTGGATCCCCAGCACCCACATAAGAGAGCAGGCAGCTGTGGCAGGCCTGCCTGTAATGTCTGCCCGTGAGAAGTAGATCCCAGGGTAAGCTGGCCAGCAGGGAGCTCTAGGTTCAGTGAGAGACCTTGCCTCAGTAAAGGAGAGTGAGCCAGGAAGACATCAGACATTAACCTCTGGCGTGCACATACGTGTACCCATGAACTTAACACTCCTGTATTCACACATACACACATGCACACATACCATACGGAACTACAGATGTAAAAAAAAAAAGGCCCACATTTGCATATGCTAAAGAAACTGTATGATTTATTCCTTAGTCATCATGGTCAGCCCAGTGGCAGTCCTACACATATGTAACTCGCCTGACTTTGGAGTTGGACTCCTTTTCTCACCACACAGCCGAGAGAAAGCTGTAGTCTTCCTTTGCTCTCCCTTGTCCGGTTTTTACTTTGCATTGTCTGCCTTCTCCTTTGAAGAGCTGCTTCACGAGACTGTTGTGCACACTTAGCTGGCGTCCTTCTCCTTCAGCTGCGTCTCTCCCAGGTCCTTCTTTGTCCTTAGTAGCCTACCCTTTCTCCTCTTCCCTCATACTTTCCCTATCACCTCTTTTATTGGTCTCTTTCCTGTTATTCTCTCTCTTTAGTTTCTGGTTACCATCAGCTGGGAAAAGAGAGCGAAAGCAGGTAAGATAATTTTTTGGGTCATCTTTTATCATTTAATTTCCTTTTCTTTAGAAAGAATAAAGCATTGGCTTCTGATTTTCCCCACATTTCTGCTTGTGCACATGAGGTGAGTAAGATCACTTCCCCATCAATCACTCTTGACTTTTGAGAGCTGTGTTCCAAGACTGCCCTGTGCTCATCTGTAAGAATGGTAACCAGTTCCCCTCTTAGGTTCAGCTGCAGTTGTGAGCTGCTTCTTAGTAACACATTGCAAGGGAAGCCTGCTTTTATTTTTGCTCCCCACCCCCCAGGATTTATTTTTACTAATGTGTCCATGTTTATATATGTGCATGTGACTCAGGGGCCCGCAGAGGCCAGAAGGCATCAGATCTGCTGGAGCTGAAGTTATAGGCTGTTGGGAACTACTTGACATGGGTGCTAATGAGAACCGAACTTGGGTCTTCTGGAAGAGCAGTATTTGCTCTTAACCAGTGAGCCCCTTGTTTTAGTTTTGAACTTTGATTAAAAATGTAAAGTGAGTTGTATCGCCTCTGGTTTAGCTTTTCATTCTGAGCACAGGAAGCAGAAGGCTCCGCCTTTGGGGAAGTGATCAATGCCATGGAGCTTTCTGCTCTTAGTCTTTTCCCTGGCTCCCCTCTAGGGGGACCTGGATATAGTCAGGCCTTGAGTGGGATCCATGATTTGACAGTGACTCATGGTGGTTGTTATGTTTATAGATGTTTGAAACTCTTTCAGTTTAGAGATGAGGGTTAACCTTAGTTCTGAGTTTGATGGAGACCGATGGGCAAAACTTTTCTTGCTTCTTGGTTGGCTGGTTGATTATTTTGGGGGACTACTTAGCATTTTATTATGTCACACATCTTACATTTGCAAAGTTCCCTGGGAACTTGTAACTAGAACAGATTACTAGATTCACAATTAACTAGAACAGTGGAAGATAAAACCAGTGTATGTTTATGAGATGACTTAGTTGATGTATTTTAAGTTATATATTATAATGTACATTAGAAAAATGTAATTACTATGTCAGACTGACTTTGTGGAAACAGGACAAAGCTGAGTGTACGTAATTGGTGTAAAGAAAATTCTGGATAAATAGTTGTGCAGGTGGTGGGCAGATAAAGAAAGGGTCACGAAGGTGGCATGCAAGAGATTTGGGGACTGTTAAGCTAGAGTGTGGATTGTATTGCTTCAGAGCATGCAAAGGCAGGACTTACGGGCATCGTTTGCTCCACATCTGTTATGTACAAGTGAGAAACAGTGCATCGTGGGTTTCAGCTAGTTTCCTGAAGTTGCAGAGCTGTGTGTACTAGCTAAGTTCCTGTTCTTTTTAAGTATGCTTGAAGTTACCGCTCAAGTGCTTTCCGTCTTAAGTCCGTAAGTTACCCATTTTTGGGGGAAATTTCAGAGAAGGCTAGCAAACAGAGTGAGGTGCTTTGTACCCAGCTCCCTGTTTGGTTTTGTAATTTTGGTGCTAAGGATGGCGTGCTGACATGTGCACTGTACTCTCCCCTCACAGTCACCTTTAGGGTCAGTAGGTGAGACACTGAATGACTTTATGACCTGAAAAGCAGTGCTGGAGCTAGCCCTGCTATATCATAAGACAGTAAGGTGGCCAGTGCTGCACCCTGGAGAGAAGGCCAGCGAAGTTCAGAAGTGACATGACTTAAACAGAAGCGACTCAGTGGTGCATTCAGTTAGGCACGCTAACGCTAGGCCTTCCGGTTACACTGTACTATACTGTGTACTGGGATGGGTGTGCAGTTGTCCTTGAGAAGGTAATTTCATGCTAGTCCTCTTGGGAAAAGTCTGATACATAGTGGATAATCACTAGGCCCATTAAGAAGTACTGTGTTTGGCTATTTAAGTGGTTATTGCATAAAAGTTTTGTTTGACAAGGAATAGTTTTGCCTTCTTTGTGCACAACGTTATTGAATGGTACCAGTGTTTATGGCAGAAGGGTTGGACATAGTCAAAGAGAGCATGTGGGCTGCTCTTTGGAATCAGGTCTCTCTCATTTAAGCCACACTAAAACAATCTGATTTATCCCCACAGTTTAATCCTCTCTCTCCCCTTTACTCCCTGGATGTTCTTGCTGACGCTTCTCATCGAAGGTGTTCCCCTGCACACTGCTCTGCCAGGTAATTGACTCCCGGTGGCGATTATTTTCTTCTGGAAAGAGCTATGTTCCTTTTCATAACACTTAAGATTGTATGGTATATGTGCACAGGATCCGATTTGATCCTTACAACAACTTTCAGAGGTAAGTCGATGTTGCACAGATGTGGAAACAGGCTGAGGGTGGAGGAATTTTTCCTGTGATCCCATGACTATGTCTTCTGGCTCATATTTCACATTATTTCTGCTGCTAAAAGTTCATCTTCAAAGAACATTATTAATGTCCCTTGCCATGACCTGCAAAGTGCTGCATAATCTGATTTCTGCCAACATGGCCAGCTTCCTTTTATACAGTCCTGTCCCTTCTCTGAGCAGGAAGATCTAGCAGTACTAGGGAGCTCCATTTTCTTCTTTAAAAATGGCAGCCCTTCCTGCCTTGGGCCTTTGCTCTCATTCCCCTTGTCTGGAAACCTCTTTGAGCTCCTGGATAACTAAGAAGTCATCTGCAGTACCATCTGGTTATTCTAATTGTTTCCTCCATAGTGCTTACCATTGTCTATAATGAATATGTGTACTGTTCATTTAAAATTCACCCCTACCTCATTGTCTTTCTCACTAGGATGTAGAGACCTTGTCTAGTCCCCGGGTAAATCCCAGCATGTGCACCTGGCACTTACTAGGCATTCTGTATGTGTATGTCACATTTCTCATTATGGAGTCTCCTAATTCAGGAGACATGGACCTGGGTATGGTTTCATGACAGCATTTCTTAGCAGTGTTACTGTGCATAGAACAGCTAACAGTCTGGACCAAAGAACTCCTGTTATTTATGGTAGCATGAGGAATTTCTTTTCCAAGGTTCTGATGCATTTTGTTTTGTTTTTGGTTGGTTTTGGTTTTTCTGAGACAGGGTCTCATTCTCACTATGTAGCTCTGACTGTCCTGGAACTATGTAGACCAGGTTGGCCCCAAACTCACAGATCTGCCTGCCTCTGCCTCACAAGTGCTCAGATTAAAGGGGTGTGGCAATACACCCAGCTTCTGGGGCTTTTTTATTAGTCAGCTCTTAAGTAAATGTGGTGCTCGTAGACTTGTGTTGTTCTTTGAAATAGTTACAAAGAGTTAGGATAATGAGCCTTGTTGCATAACCTACTGCTAGATATTTCTGCTGAGAAAGTAGTATTTTGAGAAGGATAGTCTTTTGAGAAGAGAGGCCATTGTAAATAGTGTTGCTAAGAATGTGGACTTGGGGGTGACAGAACCTCCACTGTAGGCCTTTACTCCACTGTCATGCTGTTTGTCATGCACTCACTCAGCATTTGCTCACTCCCTACTATGTGCGAGGCTCTTCCTTCAGAACTGAAGCTCTCATGAGAAAATCAGATATGGAAACTGGCAGCTATGATAAAGGCTTGCACCTGAAAGCTGTAAGACAGAGGCGGGGCTTCTAATGCAGGCCCATGGGGTTTTCTAGATTTCAGTCCCTAGAAGAACACGCCTCTGTTTGTCTTTTGTCTTGATGCTAAAGTAGTAGCTGTGTATGCTCTTTGGGACCAGATGAGCAGCACCACATAAATTCAGCACAGAGAGTGGATTGCTCTGCTCTCCTTCCTCCATGGCCGCTCCCTGGGGCTGTATTTGGGCAGCATCAGCACCTCTCTTGTCTTCCATCCTCCTGTGGCCAATACCCAGAGCTAGATCCACGATACTCTGTGCGTCCTGTTACTCTGTCATTACTGCTCTCTTGACTGGTAGCTTGTGTGGCTGGCCTCGGAAACATTAAGAAGTCTCAGCCAAGCTTCTAGTGCACGTGGCTCGGGAGCGCTGCTATTGGTTTGAGCGCTTGCTGGAAGCAAAGGAGAGAGACCGGAGATGATTACCAGTTGTCTTTGTCTTGTCTTTAGTTAGGTAGCAGTCCCAGATTAGAAGGCTGGATGCAGGTTCTGTGAAGTTGGGGGGAAAAAGTTTGAGTTAACATTCATTATTTTTTTTTTTTTTTTTTTTTTTTTTTTGACAGGTTTTCTGTGTGTAGCTTTGCACCTTTCCCGTTTGTTTTTTGGTAGACCAGGCTGGCCTGGTTTCTTTGTCTTAATTTGACACAATCTAGTCACCAGGAAA